TTTCTGTATTTTGGGTACGGCAGTAATTTACTGGCCCGAAGAATTCATATAAATAATCCAACTGCTGTGCGTAAAGGCATCGGGCGTTTGAAGGTACGAAAACAGTTCATTTCTTAACGATCGCGGGAAAATGGAAAATTTTGAAAACTAGAAATATTTCATCAACTTTTTTTTCAAGGACTTCAGACTAGATTTTATTAGATACTCTGAAAACTGGAGAGGCGCATCAGCTACAATTGTCCCCACCCCGAATTCTCACGTGTGGGGGGCAATTTGGGAAATTGATTTGAGTAATTTGAAGGATTTGGATCGTCAAGAGGGAGTTGATGAATCGATTTATTTTCCGCTTGAAGTCGACGTAGAAGATCCTCACGGGATGACCATAAAATGTCGAGTATACCAACAGTGCAAGAACCCCGAGGAGTCGGTGAATCTGCAGGAATTACCGAAAGAACGACAGCCTTCGCTCATTTACCTGTAATTAACTGAATTTTATTATTAATTAAATTGGACGACTGCAATATGTAATGAATCGGTACAATGGTACAGCTAATTACGCGGATCGTGCCATATTTCACCATCGAAATCAATTCAGAGTTATTGTAGCTCCACTTGAATTAATCGTTCAATCATCCAACAAACTCGACTTTAATAGCGAGTATTAAATGATTAGAACATCCATTTTACGTTCCCCTACCTTCTCTCTGGATATTCCGTAAGCAATTTTACAGGTCTGCCTGTCTAAAAACAAAATGTTATAAATGTTATAAATAAAAATAGCCAATTTCAGCACAACAATGTTCAAAGGAGCCGAAGAAAGTGGAATTCCCTTGGCCTACATAAAACACTTGAAATCCATAAAACATAATGGATACGCAGGAGAAATCGATGTCGGGTGAATATCAAAATAGAAAATTCATCATTTAATTAATTTACTCGTTATGTACAAAATAATAATTATTGAAAGTCTCACGCGGTGATCTCTGCTTTGGAGAATTTTTTATCAATACTAAAATATATTCTTCCATCGCAGCCTGACTCTGAATGAAATCTGAAGGAGTCGATGGGAGCGTCACCAGCAAACACTCGATATTGCGGGGATTCCGATGCCAATCTAGCGGCTTCTTCAGCTGTCAGATTATCCAGTATTTTCCTCCGGACTTTTATCTTTTCGAGACTATGTCCGTTCACCTAAAAATAATAATTCATTTATTTTTGTATGAATTCAAATAAAAAAACAATAATAATATTTAATTATTCCATTGTATCCCGAGTTAAAATTCATTTATAAATATAACTCACGATTATTGAGAGGTCGAGCTCGTACTCAGGATCGATTTCAGGCCACTGCTGTTCGAGGACATCTTTATCGATATTCAAGGTCTCGTCGTCTCCAGCCAAATGATATTTAGCAGAGCAGAAGCCAGACCACAATTCAGACGCAAATTGAGGTGCCATAGGTGCCAGCATTATTATTTGAGCAGCAAGAGCTCTTTCGTACTCCCTAGAATGAGCGACGCAGTCCAATTGTACTTTTC